AGGACCAGTAGCCCTTTTCTAGGACTTTCCAGTCCTGGAAAATGCCACAATAAAATTCCAGGACTTTCCAGGTTTTCCAGGACCCATACGAACCCTGTGCAAAGTGAGAAGTGGCTGTGGCTCAGTTTGGATGAGTGAGGGAATATGTTAAGGTTCACCACTACCAATATCTGATACGCATGGAAAAGGGGCAAAAGCCTGAAAGTGGTTCAATCATATGGAAACCCAAGTGACCAAACTAATCTACTTGGCTTATCTTAGTAGTAATAAGTACTTTACATACTGTTCATTTGTGGGAAAATCAATTGTCTCGAAGTGATTTAAATTGAGCATTTACTTCTTTGTTTTGCTCTCTTCACACAAGCTAATCAAAACAAATAAACCTCTCTAATTTGCATTTTAAGGAAAAAACAAATACTGACTCGAAAACACAAGATGTCTCTAAATAAACAGGTTAACTGAAACACTTTGGGTACATATTCAAGTTGCAATATAATCACCACTATTTCCTCCGACTTTTTTCAGAAGCTTGATGTCAGAGATAACAATATCATGTGACACAGCTTTGCACATGTCGTACACAGTCAAAGCAGCTACAGTAACAGCAGTCAGTGATTCCATCTCCACTCCAGTCCTCCCGACCGAGTTCACTGAGCCTGTAATATTCACAGCAAATTTTTCTTCATTCAATTCCAGGTTGACTTCTGCATGAGTTATGTGAATATTGTGGCACAAAGGAATAAGATTTGGAGTCTGCTTTGATGCCATAATACCTGCCAGTTGAGCAACAGTCAAAACATTTCCCTTGCTAATTTTGTTTTCTTTTAAAAGATGAAATGCTTCCGCACCTAAATTCACTACAGCTGTTGCCACAGCTAGTCTGTTACTCTCTGCCTTGGCACCAACATCCATCATTTGTGCACGGCCCTGATTATCTACATGGCTGAGGTTGAGTTCATGAGTTTCTTTCTTTAGATCTGGTGAAGTTCTATTTTCAAACTTGCTGCTTGACGTTTTAGTACAAAAACAATGAACGAACTGCTTCAAACTAAGAAGCCGGGACACACATTGTTGAAGTGTTAATGACTGAGGCTTCTGTTGTGAAAGTGTCCTTGTTTGAAAAAGCAGTCCCTTATTTACAGCTCCAGAATGAATGTGGAAACAGCGCAGCAATCTGTTAGATGTTTGCCATTTTACAGTCTTCAAGGTACCTGAAATGTAAATGACAAGATAAATAATTCTTTTTATAAAGGATTGCGGTTTAGGGAATGCGAAGGGGAAGGGATGGTAGAGCTCAGCCTACAGCCCTATCACTTTTTTGCTCAGGTTTATTCTTTAGGGCTCCATATGACATGATAAATAATGGAACAGTGACCCCTAATGCTTGTTTGTCTTGGCCAGATTTTTCAGCCCTACAACTTTAAAATGGTCTCCAAGGTCCCTGCTTGTAGTTGCATATGGAAAACTCATGGCACAAGTTTTCAAGATTTTTAAGTTACACACTAATGAATTTTTGAGCATTATTACATTCCAAATACGTTTTGCAACAGTCGTGTATGCTCCTGAGAAAGAAAATCAAAGTTTACTTTCTAGACTGAGACCTTTAACAGGAAATGGATCATAACCAACTGAAGTTCCCGTTTTGATATACAGCCAAATTTCCAGAGCCATGATTTAGATAAGCGTATGACAATCATATTTCGATCTTTTTACATGTTGTTCGGCGCGCGGGGTCGCGCGATAGGAGAAGAATCAGATGAATTAATCAAAATAAAATAAGTTGAGACGAACCTGTGCAAACGCGAATCGCCGCCATTTAAAATGCAATATGTTCAACTTCCAACTACTGAAGAATATTCAAAAGATGAGGAGTTGAAACAAAGAAATTTGCTATCGAACAAAACTCTCCAACCGTCCGCCATTTTGATATATGTTCTCATCGCGCACGTTCACTGAGTGCAGCCGCTGAAAGTTGATAACGTGGACGCGACTGGCGACGTCGGGAAAACGTTTTCCGCGTGGTTGGGGTATGGCCAAAAACAGCGGGAATATAATTTCTTGCTAAAACATCGAAATATTTTTTCGGCAGTAGCTTGTTGGGACTGAAACTAAATGGCTTAACATGGGAGCATACATCATATCGCGAGAGAATTTAGCGACTTGAGACAAGAAAGAGAAAACAAAGGGGTGAAAAAAGCGAAATGCTTTAAGAACTACGTTAAAATTAAGATAATCCTTAAAAGAAAATTTCGAGCATCTTTTAGAATATATTTACATGTAATATCCACAAACACAGGAGACTTTGAAAAGACGAATGCAAATTCGATACGTTTCTTCAATCTGTATAATTAATCAGTGAGCCCTGATTATCATTTTATACATACCACTGTGAAATACGAGTAACACTTGAACACTGAGCAATATATGAATATTTTTATGGTCAAATGTAACGACAAGATTACATAAAGGTTTAAAATAAGATCAAGCTGGGCTCTTGACAACTAAACCAACACGACAGTTTGGCCGCTCATATTTACACAATGATGTTGTCAGTTGCGAAATCAATAACTGTGACACGCGACCAACGGTTTTAAATAACCAAGAAAGTATCCAATAAAAACTCCAATTCACCCCATATGTTGCCCTAAACGAAACCCAAGGAATAAACAAGACAAAACGCGAGAAGGACTGTCGGTGGACTTTAAAATCTATTGCCAGTTGTGCTGTTTTGACACGGATTCGGCCAAGAACACTCTCAAATAGTTTCATTAAGTTTCTAAACTAATTTAAACTTCTCAAACTAAACGAAAAAAATTGGGAAAAATCTGAAAAACACACCAGAAGCACATTTAACAATTCAGACATTATTGCAGACGTGTGCATCGCACCTACACGCATGCGTAGACGATTAATTGTCCTCGACGCAAGTTTAAACACTTCCCACATGCTTTAGAATTGTCCAATTGTACCACATATATTCTTTCTTTGATCGTACCTATGGACGTGCTCGCTTAACGGCAGCACATATACTAAAATTGGAACGATACAGAGAAGATTAGCATGGCCCCTGCGCAAGGATGACACGCAAATTCGTGAAGCGTTCCAAATTTTTTTAGTTTTACAACAACGTAAAATTTATCTCGGTACACCTGCCGATTTTAACAATAATTTTGAGCAGAGCAAATCTGACGCAACATTGCTTTAATTTGAGCATTTTCCAGGCCAACATAAATCGCATGTGTGTAATATAGCCTAAAATTGTTTTTTCTTGCCACTTGGCGTAAAAATTTCGAAGAAATCGTCAAAAAAGCTCCAAACACGCAAAGCGTGGTGATCTCGCACGAGCACCCACGCACGAGTATTAGTGCGTGAAAGCTTACGCGCGCTTAGAGGTCAGTTCAACTCACTCACGCATGGCACGCGTGACTTCGCAAACGATCAGTTCCGTGGATCGATTGTTTCTTGCTTTTTACGTTTGAAAGCACTTCGCAGTTTTGCTCTGAACACGATAGAGGTCGCTAATAATAACAACTGTGAATTTAACGTCACCAACATCACGAGAATGTCTGTGAAAGCCCAACACTTTGGCGGATAAGAGGTTTGAATTGGGCACAACAGAATCGCAGCCGTTTCGCGCTTCTCTCGCTGGCTAACTGATGCGAGTCACGTCTGTCGTGTGTATCACGCACGCTACATTTCGTGCACTGCGCGCGGATAGCGGAGGGGAAAAGAACGTGTATCGAGTATCAAGTTGTCTGCGAAACGCGGGTTCCGCCACACTCGAGACTCGAAGTGTCTGGTTTGCAACTCGTAGTTGACTTCAATATTCATTTCCTTTTAGATATTTATCAGTCACTGTACATGTGCCGCCATGCCGAATCACCACAGTAAAAGTGCTGTAATTAGCATCACCGGTTGGTTCGTTGTGTATTATCGATTTGCCGTCCGCCGTACGCAAACCTGCGATAGCTATAAACTTATTTGCCTCACTGAAATAACCGCCCATACGAGCAAACCGTGATTTCAATCGCTTGTGTTTTAAATTATTTGTGTCGATGTATCAATGTAAATTGCGATTTTTAATTGAGCGGTTACGAACAAAACCTGCGTGTTTAAAAGTGAACTTGGGACGACAAGTACACGAACAGATGTAAACAAACACAGCGATCGACTGAATCGCTATGTAAAATTATTTCTCAAAATCGATTCTTCATCACCCTAATTCACGTGTAATTATTTCTCAGCAAAATTATATCGGTAGAATTATCTAACTTAACTTCCTGAATTTTTCTCAAGCAAGCCATTAAATTTGGAACTGAATTTGGAACAATCCATGGATGTGATTGTTCAACATTTGGATTTGCTCGATGCTGATTGGTTAACTGCGCTGCATCCAAGCATCGCTGCCTCGGGCTAAATGTTCTCTGTTGAGTGAGCCAATCGCATCCTGTAAATTAGCAGTCTTCGACCAATCACATCCTCTAGATACCATTAAGCTGACCAATCACATCCAGTAGATTTGGAATCGCCAAACGACTGGATGTGATTGGTCAATTTGCGAGTAACGACAACAACAACCCTTTTAAAGCTTCTTTCTTTTACCTTTAGATTTTGAATCGAAAGGTAGGATTTTGAAAAGCGATTACAAAGAGTTATTGAAAGAGCCCGAGCTCAACGAAGACATCGAGCGTTCTAATCTGTACTATAAGAATCCGTTTAGAACTATTTTCTGCCCCAAATTATTCGTGGAAGAGACATACGCTTGATCGTTTTCGTATTTGTCGTTTGCCTCTGTGGTTTTTCTTTCTGTTTATATCTTTCAGCCATGGCGAGAATGCCGAAGTTTAGACGTTTTNTTTACCTTTAGATTTTGAATCGAAAGGTAGGATTTTGAAAAGCGATTACAAAGAGTTATTGAAAGAGCCAGAGCTCAACGAAGACATCGAGCGTTCTAATCTGTACTATAAGAATCCGTTTAGAACTATTTTCTGCCCAAAATTATTCGTGGAAGAGACATACGCTTGATCGTCTTCGTATTTGTCGTTTGCCTTTGTGGTTTTTCTTTCTGTTTATATCTTTCAGCCATGGCGAGAATGCCGAAGTTTAGACGTTTTACCAATGGGGATTTGATATTTGGCTACACAGCAGAAGCGCACGAGGTGTGCAAGAGGAATTCTGAGCAGCAGGACAAGCGCCGGAAAAAGAATGAGCCGCAACTGATCAGCAAACCTCCCGAAGAGGTATAAAGCTTAAACAATTTAGAATAATACTGTTAAGATTAAAATTTGAAAAAGCCAATAATTGTTAGGTCCTGAGAACGGCTTATTGCTTTTGTTTGTTCAATAAAACATCAATTAAGACTAACGGCTTCATTAGACTATTGACCTCTTAATTATATACGCTGAGGACTTTGACACAAACAAAACAATTATAATTTTAAGACCGAGTTCGAGTGCAGATTNATAATATCCTGAGGGCTTAGACACAAACAAAACAATTATAATTTTAAGACCGAGTTCGAGTGCAGATTTGTTTTTCCTCGATATTGAATCGGCGGGCCGAAAGTTCAGGTCATATTCTACAAGTCAGGTCACTGTCTCACTGATAAATAAACAACCTAAACAGTGTCAAATAGCTCGAATTATTAATCAAAATGGTGTTTAACATCAACAAAAAACCGTTTAGTTAGCTATTTTTTTGTAATTATATTACATGCGACCCAGTGACCTGATCTAGATTTGAGCCTTGTGTGTATTAAAATACTTGTACATTTAGTAATGAAAGTTTCTCTGTGTTCCTTTGATTTTATACAGACAAACTGAAGAGACTTAAACTTGTGTTCTAAGGTTAACACAACAAGCTATTATCTTTGTTATCAATATATACATGTACTATTACGTTCAGGTCAGAAAAGCTGTCAAGAAGAGAAAAGGGAATGTTTAAAAATGAAATTGACGTGCTAGAAGAGTACTTGCTCAAGTTTGGAAAATATCTTGGTCAGTCATTCAGGTGGATGCTGGGAAATGCTTTAGGCTTTGTTGGTTGGTTTGTTGATAACATTCGCAATGAAAAAGTGACCAACTGGGGCCTTCATTCACATTAAGTTGCTTAAAGTAGCCCTAAGTTGCTATTGGTTGAGCAGTGTTTTAAAAAAAAGGTTACCACACACTCAGATTGCCTCTGTAGAAGGATATTAGACTTAAACTCCACTCCAGTCCCTAAGGAGGAGTAGGCATGGTGGCTCAATGGTTGGTGCAATGTACCCCATATTGGGGATCATTGCATTGTGTTCATACTCTCACAGTGCCTCTCCTCACCCAGATGTATAAATGGGTACTGGTTATGGAGGAGTGGGGGTTTGGGCAGAGGAAGCTCCAATAGGTGCCCTTTTGATATTTTTTTAACTGTTGTTCCCAATGCATTG